AGAAAAAGTTTGGGTAATAGGTAAGGAAAATTAATATGAAATAGAAAATGGACAAAAAAAACAATATTAGAGGGGAAACTTCGACATCCGCAGCGAGTGTGAGCCAAGGCCACCCTACCACTCCTCTTCATATTATATAAAACCAAAAAACTACTATAAATATTACACTTGGGACGCCTTAGCCATGACCCACGCTTAATGAATGCCTTAATATTTGGAACAGTCCATTTTTTTTTTTTTAACCTGCCTTTGCTTCCTTTCGATTGGCTGCAACATTACGTCACCCACCAATCAACGTGTGCAATTTATCTTTTTTTTTTCTTTCAGTAAATAAACAAAATAATGATATGGTCACCATGGAAACGCGACTCAAGTCTGCCATAGAATACACGTGGTTATGTTATGTATAGTTTATCCTACCTCATTATAATATTCACCCAGCTTACTGCATAAATTAACAACAGCGACGTACAAGAGCTGTGAACATTTAATCAGACTCAACAATAGTCTTACCTGTTAATACTAAAGCTAATTAATAAGTGTCCGCTGTCCTATATCATGTTCACAGTTCTTTATATATTTTGTTTAGGGGGGTAGCTTAAATCTATGTTTACGAGTGTTAGAAACTTTACAATACATAAGAATACAGTACATGAGGGGGGGAGTAGTCGCCAGCCGTGTTCAGACTACTTCAAGTACTTCACTCGGTGGGCTGTTTATTTTATTTTTTTTAAGGAACTTGCCGAGTGTTTCAGGAGGCAGTGTGTGTGAGTGACCACTACTTCTTCCCCTCACACACAAACGTTACTCTCTCTCACCTCTTAAGACCCGTCCTAACAGTGTGAGCGGGTCCGGGGAGGAGGAGCATGGCGCCAAATATACATTCAAGTGTTATATTATTATATTTGTTTTGTTTTTGTTTTCAATAAAGGGGCAGCCAGAACTTCTTTTATTATTACCGTTTAACAAGATGGAAAAATAATCTACAATTATGTGTGTTATACAATAAACTTTTTTGTGAACTTTTTGTCTGTTTTTGTTGTTGTTGTTTCTGTCGCTGAGCCGCGCGAGGTCACAGCTGAAACACCAACATTTGCATCGTCAAGAATCTCATTATCTATCTAACAGAGATTTCTAAAAACTCCAACTTAATTGTTTCAGAAATTCTTTACAGTATCTATCGACCAATCATCTGCCTATATCTCCACTAGTACAAGAGACTATTTACATGATCTGACATTAGTGTCGGGGTAAACTACACGGTCTTACCTACATTACGGGTCAAATACAAAGTCTTAACCAAAATAATAATAATAATAACAGTTGCATAGAAAATTTTCAACGTTAGACTTCAAACTTTCCGAAAAAGTTGTAAATAATAATAGAGTACAAACACAGTCTATACATACACTATATCATAAATTCTAATTATACCAGTAGGCAGTATAGCTTTGATAATAAACTTTCAAACTATCGTAAAAACCTTTTTCCAACACAACCCATATTTTTTTTTGTAAACAAGAGACGGAGCCTTGATAGTAAAACCTGGCTTAACAATTACCTAGACTTATATCAGCATGTCGTCAAGTCACCGCCGCGTTGTTCATTACTCAAGAACCATCAGAACACCAACACATTTCTTCTACTTACACAAAAAAAGGACAAAATTCTGTGTTTATAAGACATTCGCCCTTCGAGCACACACACACAAGCGGTGACTTCACTCCACACCTTCACATTGCATCCAAGATTTTTTTTGTTAAATTATTCAACTAACGCTTGACAACAGCTTTTTTACACAGCCATATAAAAACTTGTCTATCTGATGGAACGGGTTTATGGCTGCACTGACTCACTACGCCTAAAGCTCTACGACACACACACCATCCAACAAGGGTTTAGATCACACACAGGCTAGCAAAAGTGAACGCAGTTATACAAAGGAAGTCGTTTGATTTTTTAAGTTCTTATATATTACAATGTGTTGGGTTACTGTATGGGTCTATGAGTGGAATATCTGGAGAAAGAATTTAAAAAAAAAACCTAATCACATATCCTCAAATATTATCATTCTGGACTAAAAAAAAAAATATGAATACAAAACTAATGCATATTTGTGTGATGCATAGTAAGAAAGAAATGCTCAGAACCTAAATAAGTCTCCGATGTGTTGCTTTGATATAAAACAACAAGAGATTAAAGGTAAAGATAAAAAGTATCTCACCTACACAGACTACCTGCATCCACGAGTCTAATTCTCTACATGAAAGACGTTCACTGTTCACACCTTAACATGGTAAGATGGGCGGCTCGAATAAAAAACAAAAACAGCGCAACCAATCACAACAGAACCAATTTATCCAGGAAAAAAACAAACAACAACAACAGAGAGAACTATCCCCTTGTTTAAGTGCTCGTTAGCGGTGTGTCATAACCCCACCGCCTATTGTTAAGTTATATTAAAACTTGGTCTAGTGCTTCTCAAGTTACTCGCTATTTAAACCGATGCTTCGAGAGATGTTACAAAAATATAGTGAAGTATTTTTGGCATATGAGTGTCACCTGTTATCTCTTAAGTGGAGTCTCCCGTACAGGTCTCAAGCATTAGTCTTAGTTACCAAGTGGGAGTGAAATTTAGGACATGAATCCATTAAAAAAAAAGGGTTGAATATTGACAGGTGTGTCCTCAAGGATAAGGTTCGAGTCGAGACAACCTCAAGTATGAACTAATGGGGAAAAATATCAAGTCTTTTAAGGGAAATTTTCGGTCCGAGGTAAAAGAAAAGAGAGTGATTTGAGAGAGTGATTCGTCCTACCCTGGGTGAGAGAGAGGCTGTCACGGTGGACTGAGCAAGAGACTATGCTGAGGGAGACTCTTGCCAGCTACGATGAGATTACCCTTCATACCCAGGATAAGAGAACTCTCTCTCAGTACCAAGGAGAAACAGCAGAGAGAGACAAAGAGAGATATCAAATTAATTACAAGATAGACAAGGAGAGAAAAAATGACTCGTACAATTTAAGAGACTATCTCATAGAATCCAAAGAGAGAGAGAGATATCTAACGGTGGCCGAGGTGAGAGAGAGACTATCTCACGGTACCCAGGACAAGAGATATTGTAGTCTCCTAATAATCTGAGTAAGAAGGAGAATATCTCACAGTACCCAGCACAAGAGAAACAGTCTCTCAGTAACCGGAGTATGAGAGATATTACTTCGAGAGAGATTGACTCACACTACCCAGAGATAGAGAGATAAAGAGCGAGAGATAAAGAGAGAGACTCCACTTCAAGAGAGACTGGTGGGAAGAAGTGTAAGTTGAGGGAGACATTATTTACACATCCAAGCGTCAGACCAAACATCCCACTTCCAAAATTTATTAAAACAAATAAAAATAAATAAAAATCTGACGCTATATTAAATTTTCTCACATGTGAGGGTAAAATTATGTTAAGTGGGGGAAGCAACTATTAACTCACAATAAAAACTGTAATATTTAAAAAAAAGTCCCGATAAATAATGTAATTTTTTCATTGTTTTGAACACAATGGAACACTAAAGTCATTTTTTGATACTACTGTACCCATGAGACAAGGTTCTCCGTGTGCCGAGTGAGTTTGACCTCAATCGTCTAACCTTATATGCATATATTTTATTATTATAATATATATATATGTATAAAAAAATGGGAATACTTGAACAAGAAAAAATATAAGTACAAGGATTTCCAGTGATGAGGATTTTCTTCAACATATATGAACATTATCATTACACTCCTGTATATAAGCCTCTATTAGCATTATAGTCTTCTGTTAACAACTAATTCCGAAGCGCATTGAGGTTTTTGAGTTTGAACATAGTGAAAAATTCAAGAAAAATCTCCTAAGCTTACCCTGTCATGCCAGTAATGTGAAGTGTGGCGCCACCAGCCAGTGCAGCCCTTGTGAGGTCCGGCAAGACGGGGGTCACTCGGCCGCCTCTACCACAAACACGAGTAGTAGCCGTCACTCGCCCCTCAAGAGTGACATTCGCTGGTCAAACCACAAGTGGTGCCGAGAGAGGTATTAAATCTTGGGCAAATAATTTACTCTTGTCTCTATAAACCTTCGCTTTACCCTGTACAGTACAATAAACTTCTACATTATCTCTACTGAGGTGTAACGTTAGTAACTGTGGCGGAGAGTCGTCTTGTTTCGACTCTAAAAATATTGACGATGGCGCATTATTACGATTTTATTTTCCACTTGCATGTTTTTTTATATTTTTCTCTTGGTGAGGCCAACACGACCTTGTAGCTGTAGTGGTTATTGAGAATGATGACAAACCCCGTCACATTGAAGTAAAAAACAACCAGAATAATGTATGTATATAATAACTGATGCAACACCTTGAGTTATGTACACAACTTAATGGCTAGCCACAGTACTCTAATAATACCAAACTTTCAAGTCACTTCCACATGCAATAACAATAGTACTGTATGTTGAGTATATGAACCACTGTTGAAAAGTTTGTTTCTTCTTCTCGCTCGAGGGCCAAGTGTCCGAGGTGGAGCCCGACACTCCTCTACAGTACTTAAAAACATCAGTCCTAAAGTAACACGGCTTATAACGCCTCATGTATCAGTGTTCCGGGGGGGGGGGGGTGCTCCAGGGTGCTCCAGGAAGATGCCGAGTCGCACACATGTACACTGGAGGTCGGAGAAAGAAGGTCGAGCAGGAGCAGCAGAAGGAGGAGCAGGAGCAGGAGGAGGAGGAGGACTGTCCACCATCTCCATCCCTGTGGTGCAGGAGCCGAGGATCACCAGCTGTGAGAGTGGTGCATCTCCCTCTCTTCTCCTTTTGAGGGAGGAGAGTTGAGGAGACGGGTGAGTGTGATGCTCAGCGTGAAGGTGGTGAGAGCGAGTGAGGGTGAAGAGTGGTGGTGGTGAAGGTGGTGAAGGTGGTGAAGGTGTTGTTGGTGGTGATGATGGCGAAGTGGTGGTGGTGGAGGGAGGGGGGGCAAACATCCACCATGTCGGAACAAGACCCGTGCTGATGGTGGTGGTAGTGCTGATGGTGGTGGTTATAGTGTTATATTATTTTTAGTGGTAGTGGTGGTGGTAGTGGTGGTGGTGGTGGTGGTAGTGGTAGTAGTGGTGGTAGTGGTGGTGACTGAAGATACAACCTCACTTAAGGAGGACCACCACCTATCCAGTCTCCGCCTACTCTTGAAACACATGATGACTATATTGCGACAAGCGGCTTATCTGTTGGGACAAGAGAGAGAGACACATAAAATAATTACACAAACAACAAACTAACAAACACAAATAAACTTACACAAATACATAAAAAAACACTCATTTCACCTTTAACATTTATATCCATTATTTTTACTTTATTTTGAAACGAAAACTTCAAAATTTATCTTAAGAGGATTTTGTTTTAACTGACTCACGAGACTAAATAAAACACACACTAGTTTTAATAAATTCTCGTAATTTTGGATTTACTTTCTACTGACATTAAACTTTTGAGAATGATGAAATAACCCTTTGGTAATTATGGTGGTTTAGCCCTTTGATAATATTTTAACCCTTTGAAGATGATGATTTAACCCTTTGAAGATGATGATTTAACCCTTCGATGTTCCACTACTAGCATAAACAACAATTGTCGACATAAACAAATAAACAATGTCAATACTCACCAGGGTCTATTCCTCAGTGGTATCCATTAGCGTAAGCAGCTATGAGGGGCCCCTGTAACAACAACACCAACCATTAATACATTATACACGTTAACAACAACAACAACAATCATTCTCACATTATACACGTTAACAACAACAACAACAACAACGACAACAACCATTCATACATTATACACGTCAACAACAATAACAACAATCATTCATACATTATAGACGTCAACAGCAACTATAACAACAACAACAACCATTCATACATTATACACGTTAACAACAACAACAACAATCATTCTCACATTATACACGTTAACAACAACAACAACAACAACAACAACAACAACAACAACCATTCATACATTATACACGTCAACAACAACAACAACAATCATTCACACATTATAGACGTCAACAGCAACTATAACAACAACAACAACAACCATTCATACATTATACACGTCAACAACAACAATCATTCACACATTATAGACGTCAACAGCAACAACAACCAATATACTGTATATTACACAGGTCAGATTAACAACAACAACAACAACCATTAATATTGGCTGTGTTGTTGTTATTGTTGCTGTTGTTAATCTGACATGTGCTTTGGATGAGGAACAACAACAACCACAACTTTTAACAACAACAACAACAATAACCACAACTTTTAACAACAACAACAACAACAACATACAGATCAGATAAATAACATCAATAATAATTATACAAGTTAATATAACTTATTATATAATCTAAAATACTTTATAGTGAGATTATATTAAGTAGAGAGATTAATATAGTGATTATAAAGAAGATATTGACAAAATTAATCCCAACCCTTTGAGTACAATGATTTAACCCCTTGAGTACAATGATTTAACCCCTTGAGTACAATGATTTAACTCCTTGAGTACAATGATTTTATTCCTTGATTACGATGGCATAACCCTTTAATAAAACGACATCACCTCGAGTACGATGGTAATGTACTCGGGGAATTAATTCATTGTACTCAAGCAAATATTACAAAGACACATCACTATTACACAGAATTATAAATTAACCTTATAAAATGCCGTAGAATCTGGAATTATTAGAAAGTTTGGAATTTATTATAAAAAAATTGTGAGAATTTACCTGGAATTAGAAGAATTAAATTAAGTTTGATAACTCCACAAGAAGAGCCCCCACCCCCCACAGGTAGAGCCTCACCCCCACAGGTAGAGCCTCACCCCTCACAAGAAGAACCCCCCAATTTAAAGCCTTACCCCTACACAGGTACACCCTCACCCCTCCACAAGTAGAGCCTCCACCCCACATTTAGAGCCCCCACAAGAAGAACCCCCCAATTTAGAGCCTCACCCCTACACAGGTAAGCCCCCAGTATGCAGGTAATAGCGAGGTAGGTCAAGGCTCACCTAACCTTTAATAACCAAGGTGTATGCTGCTTATTTACTTAAAGGTCATCCTCATTAACGTCTCACTCCGGGGGATATACTGTACACCTAATATTATATATACTATTTTCTATGTGTGTGTGTGTGTGTGTGTGTGTGTGTGTGTGTGTGTGTGTGTGTGTGGGGTCTCTGTCTCAAATTTCTTCTTTTCTTATTCTTCGATATCTAATCTTCCCTTTTCTTTTCTGCTTTATTCAATTTATTATTTCCTTTTTCTTCTCATCTACAAATACAAATAAATTTCTACCTATTTACTTTAGCCTCAATTAAAATACAATAAAAATAGGTTCTAGCCACATCCCTACAGAACACCACGTAACGAGATCTATTTCCTATTACACCCATAGGTAACAAAAAAAATAAAATAGGTCCGAAACTATCCCATTTATCAACACCAAGTAACACCTACCTATTTCCTTCAATCCTCATCTAAGAATAAAGTAATAAATAAATAAACTAACTAACTGACTAAACTAGGACCCAGCCTTCCCCCTACAGGAACACCAAGAAACACCATTAATTCCCCTTTAAATCCATCTAAAAAAAAAGATTAAAACCAAATTCAAGAAAGACCCAGCAAACCCCTCTAGGAACGCCAGATAAAGGAAGAAGCAGACCAGAACTTAATCTAAATTTACAATCGGTTTTAAAAACGAAATTATAACCAGACCTGAAAATCTTCCTCTAACATTTAGCTCAACTTAACCAACTTTTAAGCCAAAGATCCCAAGCCGCCGCTGACTTATGAATATCAAATCCCCTGAGTAAGAAATTAGCAACGGTAACGGCACTGAGGAAGGGTTGGTGGTGAAAGGGGGAAGGTGAGAGGAGAAGGGATGGGTGGGAAAGGAGGTTGAGGGGGAAGGAGGAGGAATGGGGGGGAAGAAGAGTAAGAGGAGAAGGAAAAAGAAGGGGAGATAGGAGGGGGAAGGTAAACGAAGAAGGAGTAAGAAAGGGAGGGGAGAGGAAGGGAAAAGGACACGCCAACCTCTCCTCCTCCTCTCCTACTGCCTCTTCCCACTCCTCTCACCCCCCCCCCCTTCCCTGTAAGACAACTCAAGACATTTTTTTCATCACTGTTTTCATTCCTTTGTGATAAGACTCCTCGCTCCGCTCATAACAAAAGACAAGAAGAGAAAGACAAAGATTAATATTTCTTAGCTAAGGTTAAAGACCCCTGGGGCGTCTCTGAGAAGAAGTGAACCTAACTTAACCTTAACCATAACCTAACCATACCTTAATCTAATCATAACTTAATTTAACCACCAGCTTAATCTAATCTAACCTAGCCATACCATAGCTTAATCTAACCGTAACTTAATCTAACTCTAACTCTAACCTAACCATTAATTCTTCAACTGTTCTTCATTTAAAACCTATCCTATCCTATCCCCAATCCTTCAAGTCTTTTCCACTAATTCTATTCCCTCACCATTCTCTCTCACCTGTCTGCCACGTGACCTCACACAGGTAATGATGTTGTCTTACCTAATATCCTACCTGTTTCCACCTGTAAGTCCAACTCTCTCTCTCTCTCTCCCTCGTCGTCCGTGTGTATACGTTAAATAAGCTACTGTTGTAACTACTGTAACTACTCAATTACCCTCTTCCTTCTAAGCTTGAATTGGGCTGTAATAAGTCACGTACACAAGATAGTTCAACTGTGTACAGGACGGGTGAGCAGTGAACAGTACAAGACAAGTGTATGATTAGTGTGTAAGGTGCCTGGTGTACAGTACATCAAGGAGGCGGCGTCAACACTGTGTACTACATGAGGTTAATGTACTCTTGTTCTGGAGTGTACATAGGCGTGTGCACTGTGCAAGAGTGTACAATATGAAGCACAGGTGGTAAGGCTTTCGTATGGTGAGGGACGCTACGTTCAGGTGTGTGTGTGTGTGTGTGTGTGTGTGTGTGTGTGTGTGTGTGTCACCTGCCTACACAGTGACTTGCGACGGAGTAAGTACAATGATGGAGTACAAAAGACGAGCACCAGAGTACAAAATCAAGTGAGTACATTAACGAGAAATAGAGTACAAGTCATACCCCAGATTACAAGAGTACAACAATTATACACCAGAGTACAAAATCAACTGGAGTACATTACCAAGAGATAGAGTACAACAATTTATTCCCCAGAATACAACAGTCAGAGTTCATCAGTCATACCCCAGAATAATACAGTCAGAGTACATCAGTTATACACCAGAGTACAAAATCATGCTGAGTACATTACCCTATTGACAGCGACGGGGAAGGAAGAGGGCTGAGGTGAGGCTGCCTGAACATAGCCGACGGCAGTGTCACCCGGAGCTGCTGAGAACACGTCCATGGGCCCTGGTGAGCCTGCTGGTCCGAAACCCCTGCTGGTAGCCGTGGCAGGGGAGGTGGGCGGCCCATACCCTTGTGGGAAGCTGTTCATCACTGTGGGGAGGAGGACAACAGGGATGTGGGTTAGTTTTGTACATCATTGTGGGAGGCCCATACCCTTGTGGGAAGCTGTTCATCACTGTGGGGAGGAGGACAACAGGGTTGTGGGTTAGTTTTGTACATCATTGTGGGAGGCCCATACCCTTGTGGGAAGCTGTTCATCACTGTGGGGAGGAGAACAGGGAGGAAGGTGGGGGTTAGTTTTGTTCATCAGTGTGGGAGGGGGGGGTAAAGAACAGAGGTAGGGGTTAGATTTGTTCATCGTACTCAAGAAAATTAACTCATCATACTCAGTGGATTAACTCATCGTACTCACTCAGCTAATTCACCGTACTCAACGGGATTAACACAAAAAGAGAGAAACTTGAACCTAGAGAACAAAAAGTGGTAGTGGGTCAACTTCTGCAGGAGGGAGACACAATGGGCGTTAACTTCATCAGGGCGAGAGAGGACGAGGGTTCACATCAAGAGATTACCGCCTCAAACTCTCGCTCGCTACACAGACCCTTTAGTTACCCCCTCTGTTTTCCTCCGTTTTCTTTGGCTGCTTCCTCTGTTTTTTTTTTACGTAAGGGAAACAAAATACTGTATTCACTCTCTCCTTTCTCTTTCTTTCTCTAGGAATGAATTTTAATTGTTAAGGAAATTCTATCTCTCATATGGCAGTCTAATTTACATAATGGGAAAATGATTTCGTTTGGTTCATAAGTTTCAGGTATTTCTTAAGATCCTTTTGTCGGTGAAGCGAGCACACACACACACACACACACACACACACACACACACACACACACACACACACACACACACACACACACACACACACACACACACCTATTTCTAGTTGGTGGCTGTGTGAGGGAAGGAGGTGGGAGGAGGGTGATTGTGTGAGGGTAGCTTTGAGGGAGGGAAGATGGCTGTGAGGGAAGGAAGGAGGGAGGGTGGCTGTGTGTGTGAGGGCGTCAACACAGGAATATATACACAACAGGGAACATCATACAGCCATAAGGGTCTATTATGATTGCTAGACAGGTTGGGCGCTGGGACAATCACAAGATGAGGAGGACGAAGGCATACCGCGACAAGGACCCCCAACTGTGAGCCAAACAATACACTTTTGACACACACACACACACACACACACACACACACACACACACACACACACACACACACACACACACACACACACACACACACACAAACATATATACACACACAGCTTCCTTGGTGATGATGATTGTAGCCTTGATTGTGGTCGACGGCTTGTTGACGGGAAGAAATGATGATGATGATGATGATGGTGGTGATGATGATGATGATGATGGTGGTGATGATGATGATGATGATGATGATGGTGATGATGATGATGATGATGATGATGGTGGTGATGATGATGATGATGATGGTGGTGATGATGATGATGATGATGGTGGGTGTGTATGGCTCTATGGTCCCTCTGAGTGTCAGGGTGTGATGACTAGTGATGATGGTGGAGAGGTGGTGAAGGGTGACGGTGATAGTGGTGGTGGTGAAGGGTGACGGTGATCGGCTCCCCAAAACATATAACCCCATCACCTCCTCTCCCCACCATGCAATATATTCAACTAAAACTTTCTTTACACAATTAACACCTTCAGAATATATCCCCAATAGTATACTTCTCTCCCCATCTTCCTCCCCAAAAATATAACTCACTCCTAGCATAGATATATCTCCTCCCCACCCTTCCTCCCCACTCCCCTACCAGCATCACGTTATACTCCCATCCACCGACCAACATATCAACAGTATATTCTCCCTCCCTCCCTTCCGGCAACAAGCACCACGATATATCTCTCTCCTTCCCAAAACAACGATATAAATATGTGTTTCTGAGTATACCCGTTGCTAGCAGTCACCACACTGATATATCTACTGGTATACCTCCTCCCCCCTCCAGTTCCCACACTCCCTCTCCCCCCCACAGTTCCCACACCTCCCTCTCCCCAGTTCCACACTCCCTCTCCCCACAGTTCCACACCTCCCTCTCCCCCACAGTTCCCACACCTCCTCCCCCTACAGTTCCCACACTCCCTCTCCCCCCACAGTTCCCACACTACCCCCACCCACAGTTACCCCTCTCCCCCTCCACAGTTCCCACACCCCCTCTCCCCCACAGTTCCCACACCTACCCCCACCCACAGTTACCTCACCTCCCCCCACAGTTCCCACACCTCCCTCTCCCCCCCACAGTTCCCGGGTGATAATTCTCCTTATCTTGTTCGCAGTCCTAAATCGCCATCAGAATTTTAAGTTCCAGCGGAGCGTCGACTGATGGTACAGATTACACTGGCGATGGATGCAACTGAATTGGATTGCACCGATAAATTGGGGAGAAATTATTTTACAGCCGCCCAATTCATGTCTAGAGCTGGCCGCCCACCGCCCTGCACCATTCAAGAGAGGAGTGGGAGGAGGAGGAGAGCTTGCCGCCCATTCACAATTTAGAAGAGGAAAGCTTGCCACCTACAATTCACTAGCTAGGAGACCCCGCCGCCCACCATTCAGGAGAGGAGAGCTTGCCGCCCATCATTTACCAACCAGGACAGGAGAGGTAGAGGGGATATCTGAATATTGACACACACACACACACACACACACACACACACTAAGCGAGAGATAACAAGATTTACAGGTCAGAATATATATATATATATATATATATATATATATATATATATATATATATATATATATATATATATATATATATATGTATTAGTATGTAATATGTACACACAATGTGCAATCAAGTACTAATACAGACACATGTACACAAACAAGATGTACACAGAAGAAGAAACTCGTAAAAGGTCAACAAGATCAAACTTTATGAGAATGTTAAGTAAAAGTTATTTATGAAATACATTACGAAAAGTAACATAAAGTGCCGGCAATATATACGATTTAATAACATTCCTCTCCCTAGTGCCAGTGCCTACCCGCCCACCCTCCGCCCACTCTCCGCCCGCCCAAACACCCGCCCGCCCACCCACCCACCCACCCACCCTCCCGCCGGCCTGTCTGGGTGTTATTTATACGCCCACCGCCCACTGTATGAACACTAAATTGAACAAATCCAGTTATTAAGGCGTCGTGGCGCTCGTTCTGTTCTGTAGCAACGCCATGTACTTGTTCGGTAGTGGTGGTGTACAGTGGGACCTCTGTTTAAGGGACTATACGGGAAAGAGAGAGAGTACTCCGTTATACAGAAGGTCCGTTAGATGTAAGAGAGAGAAGTCCGTTAAATGGAGGTTTGACTTTATCCCCAAACGGACAGAAACATTCAAACAAACAGACAGACAGACAGACAGACACAGGCAGATAAATATATAAGTAAACAGACAAACAAGTAAACAACCAGACAAACAAACAGACAAACAAACAAGTAAACAACCAGACATATCCAGACAAACAAACAAGTAAACAACCAGACAAACAAACAGACAAACAAACAAGTAAACAACCAGACACAAACAGACAAACAAACAAGTAAACAACCAGACATATCCAGACAAACAAACAAGTAAACAACCAGACAAACAAACAGACAGACAAACAAACAAGTAAACAACCAGACAAACAAACAGACAAACAAACAAGTAAACAACCAGACAAACAAACAGACAAACAAACAAGTAAACAACCAGACATATCCAGACAAACAAACAGACAAAATCGTATTTACACTTAATAATTACTTGTGTATCTGAATCTGTCGGAAATAATTTAGTGTAGTGGCTCTGTGTGGTGTAGTGGCTCTGTGTGGTGTAGTGGCTCTGTGTGGTGTAGTGGCTCTGTGTGGTGTAGTGGCTCTGTGTGGTGTAGTGGCTCTGTGTGTGTGTAGTGGCTCTGTGGTGTAGTGTCTGTGTGGTGTAGTGGCTCTGTGTGGTGTAGTGGCTCTGTGTGGTGTAGTGGCTCTGTGTGGTGTAGTGGCTCTGTGTGGTGTAGTGGCTCTGTGTGGTGTAGTGGCTCTGTGTGGTGTAGTGGCTCTGTGTGGTGTAGTGGCTCTGTGTGGTGTAGTGGCTCTGGCGGTAAACACATGAATCAAAGCTCCGATATTAAAAACCTTCTCGTCTCACTCACTAGTCCATTACTGTCACCGTCGGCGTGTGTGTAGTACGAGGGATTGTCATTAGATGGTTCTGTTATTTACACATTTTTGTTGACGGTTCATCCAGGGGAAAAAAGTGTTAATGGATAACGGTTGAGAATATATTGTGGGTTATATGTTGTTAATTGATGGTAGTTGTTGTGTGGGGGGGAGGCAGGTTAATGTTAAGGAGTCACAGGTTAATGTTAAGACAAGGGACAACAACTTCAGGCTAAAGTGAGACATGAACTTAAAATCAACATTAGTGACAACAGCTTAAAGACTCAGTACAGCACCACAAACACTGACTGACTGACTGACCTGTAGTCCTGAGCATGGGAGAGGAGTTGATATGGTCAGCTCTGGTGTGTGGCGCTCCCGGGGCTGTAGCGGCCGTCACCTGTATAGGCTGCTGGCCTCGCCCGTCGCCTCCAGAGCCGCTCAGGGTGACAGCAGCCAAGGCCCCGGAGTCGTAGTATGTTCCTGCTGCTGCTAGACGCTCAGCCTGCAGGTGGTAATGTAACATATCCTCTGTCACATCTCCCTGCAAGTGTTGAATCAAAGCTCTAAGAGGATTTACCTACCCAGCTGCTCTACTGGTATGTTCACGGCACAGGTAACACAGTGTTCAGATGGGGGGGCAGGTCACTAGGCTGGTCTTACCGTAAGTGTAGGGGTGATGGGCGCGGTAGGGGTGAGGGTGGGGGTGGCGACGGCGCCGGAGTCGTAGTAAGCCGTGGCTTTGAACCCGTCTCCTGGTGTGGGCGTCTGGGGGGACACGCCCGTGATGGAAGCCCCAGTGGCTGAGGGGAAGTAGCCACACCCGGCCGGGAAACCTGAGGACGAGTACGGGATAACGGAGGTCAGCTGAGGTTATGGTGACGTCACTCGGCTAAGGTTTCAAAACAGATCAAGGCCAAAAAAGACAAAAACGACACTTCACACAAAGACAAGGTCAAGTGGGCCAAAAAAATGTTTCTTTCGTTAAAAGTTTTGAAGCATCAGACTGGAGGCTGGGCCGGCTTTACTGACCAAGGTACTTCAGTTAGTATGAAAATCCAGGAAGACCAAAAAAAAATAATAAAGGTTGAAAAATATGTGATCAAACGACTCCCGACCAAGAGTGTGAGAACAATGGGCAGTTACTGACAAAAGTGTTAGTTCTCTGGATTAGTGAAGCCACAAAGTGTTCCATCAAACATCACCTTAAAATAGAAAATGCTCTAAAAACCTCTATACGTCATCTCTCGGGGCAGGAACATGCCAACCCAAAACGAGAGGTCACCAACTAAAGCAAACTATAATCGAGTCATACTAGAAAATTTTCTATAATAAAACTATAAAAATTTTCTAAAAATGTTTTCTAAGACTAAAAGTTGTCCGCTAGAGAACCTGTAAGAAGGAAGAGTTAGTATGCTATAAAGACACATTGAGTTGACTAATATTGCTTCTTGATCTATGTCATCTAAGTCATGTTACATCATTATCGCACATCATGACAGCATCTTAACTAGGAGAGAACATTCACCTAAGTTAGTAGTGACAGAGACTAAACTATATTAGACTAAACATTTGGTTATGTTATCAAACAGAGAGATGAAGGGGAGCTCGCCAAACACTGGCTATAATTGCTCTATAGATTCTCTAACCTATAGTCATAACTATAGATTCTATAACCTATAGACACTAAGGTACTATAGACACTATGAACTAGAAGGAGTATTTTTCTAGAAGTCTTCTTTCTTCATTCCACATCGGCTAGACGGTCTCTTCACTTGACCTCTATTCCCATTCCTTCTAGAGGCTCTTCTAAGAGTTCACCTAATATAGTAATGTATCAGTCTAAGGAAAATATTATAAGTAGCTAAGACTATCTTGGCCACAGCACACAAGGGGTGGCCAGCGTCGTCTGTGGTACTTACTTCACGGCTCCTCGTCTTGGCTGCTTCTTCCCCAGTCATTTCATTCATTACCTTACATAATGTTATTCATAATACCCCCTGACATAAACTCGTAGTAAAAATTGGATAACTAACACTTACATCTATTAAGGAGCTACACTACTGGTTTAAATATAAATAAACAAAATGAAATAAAAGGGTTATGGATGTCTACAATAACTGTTTACAACAAGAAAAATTTCATCCTAATGACCTACATTGTTTTATATAACATTATTAACAAACCATAAATTTATCTATTAACAAACCATAAATTTATCTATCTAGAGAAACCTAAAAGTTTTATAAATACTCAACTATTACATTTTTTTTTGGTTCAACAATGAAAATAAAAAAAATATTAAAAGCTAAAAAGTTCTACATGAAAGATCAATTTTCCAACAGCTGTATGAGGGGGTATTACGTGCATGAACCCTCGGCATGGTGACTGTTGACCCGGTGACGTCATCAGAGGAAAAAAGTGCTACAGGACTCAAGACTTTACATAATATTTACACAAAAAACAAAAGAGAATCACTGTGGGATCATTATCTCAAATGGACTACAACTCCCTAAACCGAAGCTTTTGTTTAGTATCTGGAAGTTTTTTATGCAAACATTCGCTAAAACGAAGGTAGAGTTCTTCTTACCGGGTGTGAGAACAGGGACGGCGCGAATATGGGGGAGCGTATTGGATGTTAGGGCTTTGCTGGGGCTGTCATTTCTGAGCGGTATGGCGGCAGTCAGCCCTATAACCACAGAAAACGTCAAGTGGTCAAGCCTTTGAAGGGGAGACTCTCTAGCTTGTGTGATCTTACCGTCTTATATAACAACATGAGGGTGTGACCCACTGGTTGGTACAAGTCAACAACAATGTTAAGTGTGAGTGAGTGAGTGCGTGCGTCCAGGGGTGCGGGCGCCGACACTTAGTTAATTATCACTCTTGCGTCTCGTAGACCAGCCAGACACCTCGAGGAAACGTTTACAAACCTCCCAGTGTTGTCTGACATCACTGAGGACAAATAGTGAGGACAAGACGTTTATAAACGTTTCCTAGACACAGTGTGATCAGCTGGAAGGAGAAGTGATCATTTAACACAAGAGAGACACTATGGTGGTCACTAACGGTATAAGACAATAAGATCGCTGCTAATATAACAATAATATCAGTAGTAACTAAGTCGAAATTCCCATTTCAAAAATAAGGCAATTTTTTTCAAATGATTTTTGTTTTCTTTTGAAAAATTTGCCTCTCAGCTACAACCTCTATGAGCAGCTGATGACGTCACATTACAGACATGGCGGGGTCCCAACAAAAGTCGTCGTCGCACTCCGCCACCCGTAATGGACGCCACAGCATCGTACAGCAAAGGCTAAAATTATCGTGCCAGAGAATCTTAAATATTCCAAAATATGGTAAGATAGTGGACAAAAGGGGGAGCTACAGTACAGCCTTAAGAACGGCTTCTATTATAAATGGCAGAGAAGCAGAGTTAGGGGAGGAGGCGGCACATAGCCGTCGTCAGGAGGAGCTGTTCTGATAGTAATCAAAGTTCAGGCTGAGAGCACAACTTCTACAGTCTCGTCAGGCCCGCCAGCAGGAGCTACAAGTCACTAGGTAACGCGCCTACGCCTATGTTACCGTCCATAGTGGCTGCTCCTATAGAGATACACAGAGAACTAAGAGTTATACCAAGAAATGTCTAGGATGATCTATTAAGACTAAGACTCTAAACACTGGGTCAACTTTACACATGCCTCGGGTGCCATGCAACTCAGCTCTCTCATCTAGAACACTCTAGAATGAAGTAGTAAATTGGCAACAGACTAGAAGGAAATAGAAGTTTTAAAAATTTTGACCATTATATTTATTTTACATACATACATAAATCAATTTTTAAATGAGTTTTAGGTGGTAGTGCTTAATGTTTAGGCATACATCAACGCTTATGGTGGTGGTACACTAGCCTATGGCAAGGTTATGGCACAGCCTGTATACCAGCAAGTGGGTCTCGCACAAGCGGCTACATTCCACAGTATTCCAAAAAGGAAAAAAAATATTTATATATATGTATATATAGAGTACACCGTCGAGTTTTGTCTCGTTCTAGAAATCAGGTGATCTTAGCACCCCCTCCCCTCTGGTGGTGAGTGACGACAACACCAACACCTCCCCCAACACCAGCCTTCCTCCCCCCTCTCACCTTACCCTCCCCTCCTTCACCCCCACTCTCTCTTCCACTCTCCGCTGATGAGGAGGAGGTTTAGGGAGGGAAGGAGGGCGGTGAGAGGGAGGTAAGGAAGGAAGGAAGGAGGGAGGGTGGGTTTTTGGTAGCTATAACCTTCGCCTAATTTGTTGGGCGGGTGAAGGGGGGGTGATGGGAGGGAAGGAGAGGTGCGGGAGAGGGGGGGGTTGCTGTGTAGGGAGAAGGGAGGGGAGGCGTTGGTTAGGTAGAGGGGAGGGGAGGGGGCGCTGAGACTGGTGAAGAGAGGAGTGTTGTGCAGTGCCAAAACTAAGACCCAGGTATAGGCTCCCCCCACCACCACCACAACTACCACCATCATCATCATCACCACCACTACTACCACCACCACCATCACAAAGCCTCCCCACACTGGCAATCTCTCCAAGCCTAAACAAATTTATTGCCCCACATATTGAAAAGTTTGAGATTCATTCCAGGAATTCACACTGAGTTGACGTAAAAGATGTGCCACAAATTTTTAAGAATATATGCCAGTGTCTTGAGGGCTTAAGGGGGGGGGGTGGGAGGTGTGGGGGAGGTGGGGAGGGGGGTGGAGGAACCTCTTGGAAAATAAATAGCTTAATGGATGCCGTTGTAGACATGAAAGATTACAGTAGAAAATTACAATTATGATATGCGTAAATAATTGAAAGAAAACATAGAATTATCAACAATAAAAATGCATGCTTTGAAATGGGAAAGTTTTCATCTTCGTGTGTAACATAATTATTATTATTATCATTAATATTAATATTATTATCATCATCTTTACATCATGTGAGGAAAAATTGTGCAATATATAAAGAGGAAAAAATGTCATATTTTCCAGAGTAACCAAAAGTCGAAAAGACCTTTTTTCCAATACCAAATGCTATGCCATTACTTTGAAATTCAAGCACCGCTTTATTCAAATGGTATTGGAAACGCCAGCAGGAAGCGCCGCGCCCACGAACGTAACAGTGCAGCGTGTGGTGGTGGCGCGGCGGCGTCACGGGGAGCTTTGCAGTTGCAACTCTGAAGCCTAGGATCTAATTAAAAGTTGCAACTCGATCGAGGATTTGGAGCCTTCGGCAACGATTCAGTGAGACCCGGTGTGAAAGGGGGGACTGAAGACGTAAATATAGGGGACTGAAGACGTAAATATATGGGACTGAAGACGTAAATATAGGGGACTGAAGACGTAAATATAGGGGACTGAAGACGTAAATATAGGGGACTGAAGACGTAAATATAGAGGACTGAAAGACCTAAAAGAACTGCTGCTTATGTGCAACAAAACCCAGAAGTGGAGACACAAGGTGTTAACTGACTCAAATATCAAGACCAAGAATAAAGGAGGAAACAGAGGAAGAAAATGAAGTTATTATGATAAAAAAAGTTCCTCTGGTGTAAAAAATAAACAAAAGACTCATAACAAAGACAAACAAATGTCAAGAGGGGAATAATAACAGCCATCTTGATAACAAAAGAAAAAATAACAATAAACAAATCCGTGAAACAACAACTTCTATAATAAAAAAAAAAATCAACGAATGAGGAAAAAAAGGAAAAATGATTCAAAGATTTATATTGACATGTGAAGAAACACACAAGACAGCGATAGGCATCAGGAAAGTCTTGTCTAGGATGGGATAAAAATTGCTGAGCGTCAAAAGACAAAATCCTCGGCTCACACGCTGGCAAAAACAAAAACAAGAGATCCTCAATTCGTGAAAATCTATAAAAAACGAGATGAAGCCGATGAAAAAGGGCGAAGCAGTGAACAAGACACGACTGGCCTGTAAAAAACTGTCGTATGAATACCTGGTTAATGTTAAAGTAAGGAAGGATAAGGTTAATGACACCTGGTTAATGTTACAGTAAGGTAGGATGAGGTTAATAACACCTGGTTAATGTTAAAGTAAGGTAGGATAACGTTAATGACACCTGGTTAATGTTAAAGTAAGGTAGGATAAGGTTAATAACACCTAATCAATGTTAAAGTAAGAAAGAACAAAGTTAAAAGACCTAACTAATGTTAACCAAAGGTTAATAACAAGGTACAAGGAGGAACAAGTGAAAGAACATGGAAGAACAATGAAAATAAGAAGGAAAAGAACAAGGGTGAAGAACAAGGAAGAAAAAGGTCAAGAAGAAGGAAAAACAAGGAAGAACAAGGACAAAGAACAAGGGTGAAGAAGGTCAAGAACAAAGGTTAAAAACACGTTAAACCAAGGGAGAACGCTTCAACCTGTCCCAGCAGAAAGGCAGACCAGAAGAGATCCCAACCCAGCGACCTCTCCCATCTCCAGGTATAAAACACACACACCTCAAATACAGATTCACTTTATACAACTCAAAACAAATCCTTAAAAGATGTATAACTATATAGTATACAATATATATTATATGAAAAGTTTGTGTGTCAATATGCAGGAGAGCATTTATAACCCACAGAACAAAATGTTTTCGTCTTAGCTTTCATACACAGCTAAAAAAAAACATTCATCAATTTCAAGATTTATTTTAAACCAAAGTGGAGATTTTTTTTTTATTCCCATCATCATAATGAACTACGGATGCTACTGAGCTTTACTCCAAAACACCACAACCTTTCCCTGATTTTTTTTTTTATTATAAGCAGGAGCATCAGCGTCCTGTGTGTAGTCAATACTAAAAAAAAAAATAATCAACAACTTACAACGAGATAATTACAGGTAAGGATACCCACAGGTGGTTCCTTTGACTAGACCACAAAATTAGTATATTTTTATGGAAGTTATCGCAGTTTGCATAGTTAAAAAAGTGACGGAATTGGCACTATATTGTACTCCACCCTCAACTCTTGCCTCTCTGTGGCCACTGATGATCAACTTGGCAGCAACAACTTAGCCGAAAATAAAATAAAAAGTATTATTTTATTTTGTTTTTTCATTGTTTTGATTTCCAAGGCACTATATTAGCCTGTCTTTTATAAATTGAGATTATTCGGTAAACCTTTGCCTGAGTTACGACCGTTCGAGTGAAGGGCCAAGTTAGGGGGAGTTAGGTTGATTACTGCAGGTGTTGACCGTGAGTGTCCTGGCAGGTGAGGAACGTGAGAAGGGGTTATCGCATCGTACAGTACAGTACTAGGCCTACTGTAGTGAGAACCGTAGCCAATGACTGGCCTCATTCTACGAGTCTTCTAATACACTAGTTACCGAGTACCTAAAGTCAGGTAACGGTAGAAAATCTGGTTTTAAATGGCCTAGTAAACTGCCTCTAGAATGACCGTATATATCTGGACATACTCAGACTAGACCAACCACTAATGACTCTCCAGTCTAGATATATCTTGGCCATGCTCGCCCCTGTGCCAAAACAATAAAAAAATTATTCCATTACCACAATTAAAGTTATTATTAATATAAGCTTTTTACAACCAAAACATTTAGATGTGGAATATCCTAGTGGGTCTACACACTACACCGGGTATTATCTTGCACGCCCAGGAGCCTACACTAGCAGCGGAAGCCGTCTTAGTCTACCATTAAGATACAGGTTAGAAGAGGGAGGGAAAATCATTCAAAAAAAAGTATCTAGAACTAGAATGAATCTCTCGTACAGAGAAGAGCTTTTAACTGACCAACATTATATTATGCTATATGAGGGAGGGGGCTTTTGCACTGCAACAATTAATCAAAATTATATATAGCAAACTGATGTACAAACAAAATACTAACTTCTAATACAAAAAAAAGATGAAACGAAAACAAATGACCACTAGCAAAGCCAGTCATTACAACCTCACTCTAGTCTGTCCTTCGCTGGCTGACAGGACCCGGCGAGCTACTACACGGCCAGTACTTATACAAAGAAATGGAATGATACGAGCATCAACCATTTGTCCTAAACTTCCGAACTAGAACACTTGTTGGAAAATATAAACATTTAGGATAAAGACCTGTTCCTGGCAAGGTCTGCGCCGTTGTACTATGAACATGAGGCTCAGGATCTGCTGTTGTTCCGCTCTCGTCTATCTCTTAGGAAGTACTGACAATAATACGTTGAAATGTGTAGGATGGAATATAGTGACTGGTAACGGCGGACAGACAGGCAGGTGGACGAGTGAGCCGGTGATGAACCTTGCGCCGGCCTGCTTGCGGCTCTGCACCTTCCACTGGCAGTCATTTATAACTCCTGCTTCTAAATCACTTTAAGATAAATTGACGCTTTCAATTTCCCAGCAGCCGAGGAGGAGACCCAAAGACTGCAAATTTTACGTCTCTGATGCAGAAGTTCTCAAACAGGCAGCGAGGAGGAGGAGGAGGACGGCTCTGCGTGTTCCCGCCTCCCTGTAGCCTTGTGTGTGTGTGTGTGTGTGTGTGTGTGTACCCCGCATCCCTGTGTAATGTGTACTCTGTTATATGTACTCACTCTGTTATGTGTACTCCCTGTGTTAAGTGTACCCCCCGTATGTTAGGTAGGTGTGTGTGTGTGTGTGTGTGTGTGTGTGTGTGTGTGTGTGTGTGTGTGTGTGTGTGTGTGTATTGTCTGCATGAGTGTTAAGTGTCAGCCTATGTATTAAGCATGTGTTAAGTGCATGTGTGTTACGAGTACTCTTGTGTTAAGTGTCAGCCTGAGTGTTAAGTGTCACCCCATGTGTGTGTTATAAGTGTTCCTTTACTGGCCCAGCCGTAACCTCAATCAAGGCACTCCAATCAATCTAATACTTTGATCATCACAGAAATAAGGAAACATTAAACTGGACAATGACAACAATAGGTACACCGCGTCGGCTCTCCATTCTAAGCCTTATTACACGTCTCCTTCCTCACTATTATCTTTGCCTCTCGCTGCGGTAGACGAGAGAGATGATTAGAGATACATGATAATTAAAGATGATTGGATCTTTTGTATGATGAGTGGAAACGACATGTAAGGTGTAAAAAAAATCATTGGCAGATTCACAGTCGGTATTATTTCCTCTCTCTGGTGCGTTCGTCCTGTGCCAATGAAAAACTTATCATTGATGTGAACATATTGTAGATGTTAACCTGAGGACGATGACTGGTGACTGACTGTCTTGATGTAGGGGAAGGAAAATTTATGTCACCTTGTAATGAGTCTTGAAGGGTTTGTTTACTTAATGGATGGTTTTGTTTTCGTGAGGTTTATAGTTTTTTTTGTTTTTAACTTTAATGATAAAGATAAGAAGTTAACATCTAGAATATGATTAGAGACTTATTTTGCTAATATGATAAATAGCCTTAATGACGGAATTCTGGAATATTAAAAAGAAGAAATTGTTGGCGAGTGTGTGGCTGTGATGAGGTCGGGTGGCGGCGAGCTTTGAGGACGACAATAACAGGAGATATATTATGTAAACAAAAAACAGCTGATCGTCTGTCAACATAAAACAGCTGATAATCCGTCAACATAAAACAGCTGATCATTCGTCAACAAAAAACAGCTGATAAATGCGCCATAAAAATATTAAGCAGTTAAACATTTCGTCAATAAAAATCAGCTGACCGCATCAACAACAACAACAACAAAATAAGCGCTGATCGAACACCCTCGTCTCACTCTACACTAAAATGGTTTAACCTTCCAGAATTCTCAGTTCATAATATGATCACAAAGAATATTATAGCGAACACCCAAGACTCGCCATCCCTAACCTTATTAAGTGACAAACAAACACTCATTAACGACCAATTTCTATAGTTAGTTAAGTTGAAGTTTAATATAGAGAAAATGAGTTTAGTAAATGGCTTACCTTGTGTGCTCATATAAAGAGAATCGGCTCCCTCTCCTTCATATAGCTAAGATTATAAATGACTTAAATAAAGGCGCTGTAACTGTTGAGGTTTACAGCACACAAGAGTGAGTGGATGGATCTTTAACGTTAGGATGGTATCAAGTGTTATCAAACATCCTTCAGTCTGTGTCTCTCTCTCCTCCTAAAGGACCCAAAACGCATACTCAAAAAACGGGGACAAATGTAAGTGAATTTGTCGTCTTAAAAAACTGTCAAACAAATATCTCCCCCCATCAAAAATTACTCCCCCAAAAAATCCTGACGACTAAAATAATCCTTACAAGGACCGAAAACCATTGTAATGATAATCCTAGACCCTCGCCCCTGGAGGACTACTGTGTCAAAAAGGCCGTTCCAAACACCTATATGTATATATATATAATATATATATAGTATAAATGAAGTTGCAGCAACAAGATTGGATAGGAAGTGTCCCTCATTATGAAGACCTAGTCAGGTCTACTCCATAAGACAGGTAAGTATCTTCAGCAGCGTAATGTACTATGTAATGTTTGGTTCACTACGACAACCAGATTATTATTATTATTATTATTATTATTATTATTATTATTAATTATTATTATTATTATTTTCCATGGGGGTCTGTTTTTGTTTTGTTTTTGGCATTATCATGTCTTTAAATGCTAACAGTAATCACAGAAGAGATCATTTCTATCCTTATGTTGCCCATACTGAACGGCGAGGGATGAGAAGGGCGCCACAGGTTGCACTACTAGGTCCATAGGGTTATATACAAGGCATATGAGTTTCGGCTCAAGCTGCCACGAGTGGGTGGTTCAGGTGTGCCCAACCAGGTTTAATGCAGGATTCAAACCGATATATTCTCCCAAAGGAAACTTGCCATCAGGCAAAATTCCAACAATTCCTGGGAAAAGAAATAAGAGGAAATCAAAATCTTGACCTATAACTTTGTAACTTGATATAACATTAATTATTTGGATATAACAATACATTACTATTAGATTATTAAGACTTGCCATAAGAGCTACACTTATCGTGAAGAGAACAGAGTTGTAAGACAAGAAAGTGACATACTCAGTCATGACAAAGAAAATGGTACTTTACTGCATAAACAAACCAAAACTACGAATTTTGCATATCTATGTACCTTCAGATGAGAGGCCACATGAGGGCACCCTCTCCATTACTCGTCAGGCCACACTCCGTAAACTATCTTGCTGCTACAACTACCAACACACTGCTACAGGTGGTGCTGGTTCACCACACCAACACTCCCTTACTCCGGACGACGATATGGCGAGGTTCGTGGCCCAAACAAGCCATTTTATCATACTATTGGCCTTTACCATGAAGCCCCTTTATTGTGATGAAAAAATCCAACAGTACTCGTAAAAAAGTGACAATCATGAGAGTGTATTATTGTGAGCAGAAAGTGACAAGTCCTGGCTAGCCTTTCAATGACTAGGGTGGGTTACACAAAAAGTTTAATCATTGAAAAGTTATACCATTAATTGCCTTTATTTATCCAGATCCGTTCCCATATCGCCGAAAGGGTTAATAGAAAAAATAATAAGGTGAAAAAAATTAAACCAAATAAACTCATTACTTACTTCTATCGAGTGTTACAAAGAACGTTTAGCTACGCTGAAGACTCAAGATATAGGCCTACACAAACTCTGACGAGGAAAACCAGCTAAGCCTACCAAACCCTACGGCAGAGTACTCTCGCCTACACGCTGTAGCAGCTGCTGGAAGTTAGTTACACTGGTCGCAATGGAATGCTCTAGGGGGAGGGGAGAAAAACATGCATCAAAGCCAAAATATGCTTGTGTGTAAATGCGTCTTTCCACGACGTGTTTTTGTAAATATTATCGTGGCTATTGGAAAACATTTCAGAGTTGCTATAGTTTAGTAAACATTTTTCTTCAAAACTTTGTCAATATATAGATCCTATGCTCGTGAACTCAACAATTGGGTGACGGCATCCAAAAATTGAAAACAACAGAATTCGTCCAAAAAAGGACGAAAATGCTTTTTTTAAAAAATAAATGCTGAAATGCATTAAAAAGACCCAGTAGAGGCGTCGTCTAGTGGGTCCACAGCTCCGAAAAAAAATTTGGAGCTTTTGTTTTTTGGGTTTTGAAAGTTAAAGAGGATAACAATTTAGGGTTGAAGCCATCCCCAGCTGCAGAGCGGAGTTACAACTGCAAGGCATGCAGGTTATAGAGACCCACATCGACCGGGTGCGGAACACACAACGCTGCAAGACCCGTGTTTAAATTACCTGCAGGATAAGGAAACCCAAAGCTCGGGTAACTGGCATAGCCGCGACCTGCATAGGCGGCGTACGCGGCTGCTTGGATACCTGGAAAGAAAGCGCGAGGAGATGGATTAGTGACACGTCAAGAAAAAGTTGACTTATATATAAGTTGATGCTTGACTGAGGTAACAAGTGCCTAGTGGTGGTCATTATTGTGAACTGCTCGTCAATTGGCTGAGTTGATAATGAGCTTTATAAACTAAGTTGACTTTAGGAGGTGAAGACGTTAAACTACTGGAAACAGCTTTGTAAACTAGACCTACTGGATAAATAACTAGCGCACTGGTCATGCAATTACAATCCTAATAAAGACTTCATTAGCTTGGTACTGTACTGCGTTTACTTTAAAAAAGTGACTAATTTGTTTTGGCAGATAACAAAGCTTAAAAAACTCTAGAGATACCCCTGGCAGCAGCCTGACACTACGCTCTCTACTGCTCCTACAAGATGCTACTAAATTTTTCTTAGCAAAAAAAGATCACACAACTACTAATCAAATTTTTAAAAAAGGAGAGTTTTACTTTCCCTGATTGAGAATGTGAAGTAAAGTGACTTTATAAGTAAGTAATAAAACAATTCTCCAGATTACTGTGACTTAAAAGGGAAGTAGCAGTAACGCGACTGTTCCAAGCTGGTGCCCGAGGTATTAATGGAGAAAAAAACCAAGCCTCTTTTTCGAACCTGTCCCGGTGCTCCTCTTATCTGATTCTTTCTCAAGTCCAAAAACCAAAACAGCAAGATGAAAAATATCAAAAAATCATTAGTAAACATCTCAGTAAGAGACTCTTGGTTACACCCTCAAAAAATATTGCCGAGACAAAATTCAAGTCTTCGTTTTTAACATTTTAGTTTTTTCTTTAGAATCAGATATATCATGTTTTCCCCAAACTGGCCATCATGTTTTCCCTCAAAGCTGGCCATCATGTGTCACCCAAAGCTGGCCATCATGTGTCCCCAAAGCTGGCCATCATGTTTCACCTCCAAGCTGGCCATCATGTTCCCCAAAGCTGGCCATCATGTTACCCCTCCAAGCTGGCCATCTGTTGCCGGTATGTGTTAAACTTTCCGAGCCACTTGTCACTGTTTCTTTGACCTGATCACTTTTAAAAAACCACTGAGGACCAGCCATCGAGTGTCTGTCTGTCTGTCTGTCACGTCATAAAGTCTTGTCACGTGTCCTAACACTTGCTGCAGTCCTCACTAACGCAGCATCTTCCGAGGAATCCGTCACCTGGCCTGGGGTGAGAAGTCCTCTACAACCTAGGGTGAAGGGAGGGTCCTCACCTGGCCTAAAGTGGGGGTCCTCACCTGGCCTAGGGGGGGGTCCTCACCTGGCCTAGGGGGGGTCCTCACCTGGCCTAAGGGGTTCATCAGGACCAGGAGGGAGAGCACAACCCACAGGTGTTGTGGTCACAATACTGCAACAAGTGGGGGATATATAGTGGTCATATATGTGTGTGTGTACCTCCTTGTGTGTGTGTGTACCTCCTTGTGTGTGTGTGTACCTCCTTGTGTGTGTGTACCTCCTTGTGTGTGTGTGTACCTCCTTGTGTGTGTACCTCCATGGTGTGTGTGTACCTGCTTTGGTGTGTAGGTACCTCAGTGATTGACATGTGTGTGTGTGTGTAAACTCGCTCCAAAGGCATCTTCACGGAGAGGTCCGATGAATGAACACTGTGACTCCTGTTGTCTCAGTAGGGTTGTCAAAATCCTTCGTCCGTTGTCATGTTGTCTCACACAAAGTCGTAAAGATACTTTTGGGAGCGAGTGTAGTACCCCACGTGTGTGTGTACCTCCTTGTGTGTGTGTAGTACCCCACGTGTGTGTGTACCTCCTTGTGTGTGTGTAGTACCCCACGTGTGTGTGTAGTCCACGTGTGTGTGTACCTGGTTTATGCTGGACATAAGACTTCACTGAACAGCTGACATCACTTCCATCATCCTTTTATTAGTGAGAAAAAGGAACTGATCATTGAGAAAATACTTACATCACTCTTATTAATTCTTCCTCTGGTCTTTGTTTTGTTCCATCAAGTTACAACTTTTATAATGACATTGACAAAGAAAATTACATCTTAAGTGTAAGAACAGTAATATTTAAGACAAGTTATAAGAGAATATGTCAGTTTAACTTAAAGAAGAAATTTGGTCATGTTTATGTATAATATATTACGAATGGACTTGTATACCTGTTATATCGTTCAAGTGAGAGTGAAGTATACTGAAGAACGTATACACATAATGAATCATACATGTCATTAATTCTTACATATGTATAACAAACTTATACATAAGTTATATGTATTTAGTGAGGGTTGTACATGTGCTTCTGTTTCTCTACACGTGTAGCTGAAGTACATATGTTTATATATACTGTGTGTGTGGTGAGACTCCAGACACTTGACACCCCTGGGGAAGACAACACCTGGACACCCCTGGGGAAGACAACACCTGTGACACCCCTGGGGAAGACAACACCTGTGACACCCTGGGAAGACAACACCTGTGACACCCCTGGGGAAGACAACACCTGTGGACACCCCTGGGGAAGACAACACCTGTGGACACTCATCTCAGGTGACACATAAAACACCTGTACAGTGAGAAGACAGTGACTCTCACCAACACTTTAACTGAACACTCGAGTTTTTCTGGTTAACAGTGACTACACAAGTCCTTTCACCGAGAACACTTTATTATTTTTTTCTTCCTGAAATTAGTGACAAATCGAACACTTTGTCTCCTGTTCTCTGCACTGAAAAAAAGGTCGTATAGAAGACTGTTAGTATGTCGGAGTTACTATGAGGGAGACTATATGGCGTAGAGGTGTGTGGTGAGAATGGCCAGCGAGAGGAACCCAGGATTTATTTATTTTTTATTTGAGGCGCAAATCGGGTCAGGCTCGAGTGTGAAGGCTCCAGGAGGCTACTCTACACGAGGAGCACACTATGAGGAGTAGGAGGAGGAGGTGGTGGTGATGGAGGGTCAGGTAAGGTGGAGAAGGCAGTGGAACGCAAGTGGAAGTTCGCCGAGGAGGACCACCACTTGGGCTCCACACTGACACACGTCGCTCAGAGGCCCTCGTGTGCCGTCAGCCAGAGTCGCTGCTTCAGCTCTCTGACTCTAAGTATATCTCTGTGACAGACAGCTATTAGAAGAGTTAGGCTTTTTGTGAGACTTTTTTACATATATTTTACAATATTATTGTTTGTTTATACTACCGAGGCAGAACAGTTATGGGAGCCACGGGTAGGTGAGGGAAGTGAGGGAGAATGGGAGGTCCTCGTGTAGCGTGCCCCTGGCTGGCTAGTATAGTAACAAGAAGAAATACATACCATCAGGGAGAGCTCCCAGCGACCAAACTAGATCTAGAACATTTGAGAGGAAAGAGAAAAAGAACTGGATCAGACACCTTGTCATGAAGGCATTCAAATATGAGTTGACAATTGTGATTTGCAATTGAAAACTAGACACAAAAAGGTTTGGATGCCCCAAATTAGTTGAAATCTAATGGCATTAAAAGGAACTAACCCACTCTTGGGAGTTAAAACAATGAGATCTCCATGACTGAATCAGTATTAAAAAGAGTCCAACAGGGACAACTAGACATTCTCACTAATAAAGAAGTAGTAGACCCGCCATTGGTCACTGGGAAGCTCTGTGCCAAGCTTGCCATGCCGCTCACCAGCCAATCGTATTTGAGAATTAGACTTTATAGTGTACTGTACTGGGCGCCAGACACCAGGTGCTTAGGTTTCTGATCTCCACCTTGACTAGCCGGTGGTGCCGTGTCCTTGGCACGGCCAGTGCCATTGCGCAATAAATAGAGGTACAGACATAGCTCAGTGCCGTCAGGTCACCTGCAATATTCTGTCCATATATATTTTGTGAAATGTATAATATAGCAGGTTCTCGAGTCATTATCTTTCTTCCTCAGGAAAAGAATATAGTTGACGATGTGATGGTGCTACTCTTTTCTAAAGAACTATGTCGGCTCTACCAGCTATAACACTACTCTAGAAAGGGGCTACAACTAGATAAAGACAAACAGTAAAAGTACGTTCAAAATGTTGTTTATTCTATGAACAGTAATGATACAAGGCTTGATGCCTATAGTAAACTATGATATAGACTATCATTGGCACATGACATTACTCAAAGATTTAAAGGCCTCTTTAATGGAATTTGAAGATAACCAAAACCCTGTCATTTGGTACCAATTAAGTACTAAAAAATCACATAGGCCATTCATGAAAAGCCTTGTAAGTGCATTGTCTCCTATACGCTTATTATTAACATTATTTACTCAGACGCTGATACGCGGCCCCCACTCCACAGCCCCGAGTCGGGGAGAATGATACCCACAACTACTGTATGTGTCTCATTCAAAACTGCAGGGATAATACAAATGGACCCATGTCGTACAAAGACGATATAGTTGAAATGTTTATAACAGCAGGCACGGGCTCGTGGTCTTTCTAACTCAGCTAACATCTTTTATTTTAACTAATATTATAATATATTTTTTTTTGGTGTCGTCTCTCCCGGTGTTAGTGAAGGTGTGGCCAGAAACACCTCAGGTAGACGGACTCTGTCGCTGAGCCACTAACAGCTGTTCATCTCCCTTAATATCTAGTACTATACTAGCTTAATACTCCCTAATGATCTAACTTTCCCGTTCCTCTTATCGTACCGAACCACAACCAAAAGTACTAAAAAAATGAATAAAAAAAGAGGAAAAACTAATGTAAAAAAGTATATATATTTATATTTATATATATATAGTTCTCACTGATTTTTTTTTGTTTTATATTATTATTATTATTATTATTATTATTATTATTATGGCCCATATGTGCGTCATCAGTGCGACGACCCTGTAGAGCGGTACAAAATGTGTGCACTCTGAAGCACTCTTTGTAAACACGATATGTGAACTTAGATGGGAGAGAGTGACTATAGGAACTCTAATAGATTATACTCACTCTTATATCTCTACTACTACGTAATAAAAACTAAAGGAGAATAATACTCCTTTTTTGTTTTCCTTAACGTGTGTGTGTGTGTGTGTGTGTGTGTGTGTGTGTGTGTGTGTGTGTTTTGTGTGTGTGTTAGTGTAGTGTAGTGTGTGCATGTTATGTGCCTGTTTAATGTGTGTGTATGTTATTATGTGCGTGTGTGTGTATATTGTGTGCTTGTTGTGTGTGTGTGTACATGTTATGTGTGTGTGTGTGTGTGTATCATTAACTGTAGTCTATCTCACGTAATTCAACTTCAAATATTGAGCATAAAACATTACCACTCAACACAGCGTCTACGGTGCGTCAGACTCACCCTATATTACACCTCTGGCTACACCCTACTCTCCCGTGCTGTGTTCTCAAGACACAGCACACCTCAATGCACGTTTTCTAACAACTAAAAACATCTGGTCATTAAAATAATATCAAGTCTCCCTATATGTGTGTAGTGAAGAGGTAAAATCCCTACAGACAGTAATGTGGGAACTAGCCGATGTGTTAGAGGATGGAAGACGTCCACTGAGAGGCCTTGGTGTTGTGTTCTGAGCTTCCACACAACACTGAGGGAGTTACATGATATAGCTAACAGGTGGGTCCCTCCCTAGTGTGGACTACTACTGTACTCTGGTGACGCGGAAACCAACACTCTAACCGCGGAAAAGAAAATATAAATCTTTTGTTTAATTAAGAGGATCATTATTGCATATGGATTAGTTCTCCTACCACTTACGGATTAGTCACTACCACGTACTGATTAGGTTTCCTACCTTGCAGTGAATGGTTTCTACTATGTACGGATTGGTTTGCTACCATTTTTTAGTCATTTTATTACAAGGCGACTACCATTTAGTGCCTGGGGGGGCGGCTACCACGTACAGTGTGTGCTGAACCTGTACTGTCTGGTAGCTACCACTGTTGATCTACCAGAAAATGAAGCTTTATAATGATACTCCTACACTCCCCTAAGCCTGGTGATTATCTAGTGTATAAAAGTATAAAACGTCTGATCTAGCGATGATAAAAGGACCCCTCTGCCTTCACCTAACTCTCAAACACCTTCATAAGTCTACTCCATCCTGCCTTTATATCCTTGGGTTTTGAACTGGCAAAGGGGTTTTTGATCACTGAAATGGGTTGAATTTCTCTCTCTTTCTCTCTCAAGATTTTTGTTTTTGTTTTATTATTATTTAAAACATAATGGAACAATCTGAGCTTCAACTCGGGCAGTGAGCCACACACTCACTCACGCACGGTAAAGGTTACGAACAACCCCGTCATTGCATAGACGATTTGATGGCAGTTTCTTTCTCTCGTGTTCTTTGGACTTGGATTCTATACTGTTTGATTATTAAGAGTTTTGATCGTAAGGTTGCGTTAGGATTGCCTTGCTCGCCAGGAAACAATAGAGATATTCTCGTACCTAAGAAAGCAAATAAACATTTGTATTTTTGATATACATATATATTATATATAGAGTTTCTTTTTTGTTTTAATACGACTTCTACTGCGAATTTGATGCGTTAATTAAGAGGTTAAAGTATAAAGAGTGTGGAAGTGCTCTACATACGTAAATTATGTGCCTGAGTGGTTCTCCCTGATAACACCTATTGTATGATAATGAACTCGTGTTGTGTCGTCCACAAACAATCTTTTAGCTGTTGTCTGAGATGAAGCCTTGGGCATTTATACGCAAAATTCTACCTCAATCTCTCTCTCTCTCTCAATCTCTCTCTCTTTTCTTTTTTAAATACTCAAATTCATATGTAAAAACTACGATAAAAATGTTTATACGATTCAAAGGACACGTATTTTATTCCTAACTAGAGACTTGTCAAAGGTTATACTGTGTGGTGTAGCGGAGGCCGAGCGCTCCGTCCCAAACTACTGTACTTTTACTCCAAGAAAAATAGTCTTCAAACTGAAACCAAAACAGTGGAAGTTAAGGTACCACAAGTTTGAGTAAATATATAGAGAGCGCTAGTCTACAATATAACCATCTATAATCTGTGTTACAACTATGGAGGGGGGGACGCGGTTATAGCCAAGCCAAACACAAAAATAAATAAAGAAATAAAGAACATATAGAAGACAATGTGAGCGTACAGAAAAACAACACCAGCAACACAGCTGTACCAACATTAACGCCTACGATGGTTGGGCGTCCAGCTGATGCCTCTCTACTTCCTGCCTGCCACCAGCTGTCTGCCCACCCAGGTGAGGGTTAAGTATACGCAGTTTTAAAAGTATACGACTCTCCTATAATGGTATCCAAACCTTTTTATGCAGGACATGTAAAGTGGCTACGTAGGTACAGTGGCCTCAGGAGTACGCGGCCTTATTAATAGTTTTACTTTTTATTTTTATTAAGTACTACGGCCTACGTAAGTTACTTTTGGTCCACGTAAGTACATGGCCTATATTCTTAAGTACCGTGGTAAAGCAAGTACCATGGTCCGTGTAAGTACGTGGTCTAGGGCAGTACTGTTACTTGCGCCAGTAGCACTGTCCACACTGGCCAGTACACGGTGGTAGACGGGTGTACGTGCCGGGGTGGGGGTGTTACTGTCTCCTTGTGAGTGCCGCCACGCCTTGACGGCACCGAGCCACCCGTCACTTGTCTGTCTGTATGGTGCCACACGTCGACACAAGGCCACGCGTCGACACGGTGCCACACGTCGACACAAAGGCGCGTCGACACGGTGCCACGCGTCGACACAAGGCCACGCGTCGACACGGTGCCACATGTCGACCTAGGCCGCGCGTCGACACGGTGCCACATGTCAACACAAGGCCATGTGTCGGCACAGTGACACATGTCGACACAGTGCCGTGTGACGAGATCGTGTCACAAATCGACACCGTGTTACATGAGGATCACACGACGACATGATGCCACGGGTCGACACAGGGTCACAGGTCGATACGGTGCCACGCATTGACACGGTGCCACGCATCAACACGGTGCCACGCATCGACACGGGATCACATATCGAAAATATGTCACATTATAACACAGTGCCACACGTCGACACAGTGTCCTACGTCGACAAAGTGCCACATGTTAACAAGGTGCCACACGTCAACAAAGTGCCACATGTCGACACAAAGCCAAACGTCGACACGGTGCCACACGTCGACACGGTGTCAGACGAAAGCAAAAATTTATATCTAAACTGCTAGACGTCGACATTTTGCATGATCTCGACACTATGCTAAACGTCGAAAACTATGTCAGGCGTTGACACTGTATTTCACTCTAACAAGGTGCTTGATGTGAACACCGCACCTGACGTCGACAGTACTTTACGTCGGCACAGACAGACGCCAGCACAGTGCCAGATGCTAAAACAGTGCAGACGCCAACACAATGCCAGACGCCAACACAGTGCCAGACGCCAACACAGTGCCAGACGCCAACGCAGTGCAAGACGTCGAAACAGTGCCAGACGCCAACAGTGTCAGATGCCAACACAGTGCTAGATGCCAGAACAGTGTCAGACGTCGACACAGTGCCAGACGCCAGCAGAATGCCAGGAGGAGTGATGAATATCAAGAGGGGTGCCGGGTGCCAAGAGTGCCATAGGGGGTGGGCGGCCACAACAGAACATGTGCTACACCACGGTCGGGACAGGAGAGCAGAACAGAGCTATGATCTATTTACATCAATACAGCAGTATCACTTCCATATTATAGCAGCAATGTTCCTTATCACTTAATGATGTACTTCACAAGAACTTCACCACTGAACTTGACAACAAAGGGAAGACAAGACATCTAAGCTTTGACATTGAAGTGAATATTAACTCTCATTGCATAGACATTGGAAAGAAGTGAATGATAATATTGGAAATCATCTGAATAATATATGCGGTCATTATGTACTTGCACAAACTAATACAGAGAAAGCCCTAACACATCCTGACCCAGAGGGGGGTAGTGGAACCACATAGCAACGACCGTTCAGAAAAAAAATAAAATTAAGAACGTCCAGCCTTCCCATATAAGGTCATCAAACACTGCCCGGAACCATGGCATGCCACGTGAAGTAAGACGCGGGGAGGACCTCCGCCCTTACGCCCTTGTTGTCTAAGGGTTAAAATGGGTAGAGGCCCTTCCGACCAGTGCTGGGTGGCTGCTGTACAGAGATTCCTCTCCAAAACACCAACTTGTGTGCAATCCAAACTTTACTTGGTTAGTACTGGAAACTACTCAATACTCAACATGTTAATTATGAAGACTAGCAAAGGAAAATAAAAAAGGTGATAAGCGGTGACTAGAAAATAAGATACTGATGTATACAACACTAGAGTAACATAAGCCTTGTAGGGTGTGGCCTCGGGGGGAACGATCACCTACAGTACTGGATATTTGGTGTACCTTGGCCTGTCAGGTAGCGCTAGCGAGGGGGGTCAATGGAGGCCACGACAGGTGACAGCTAGACAAAGTGAAGGTCTTGACCGTCCCAGCCCCGCCTGAGTCATAGTGATTATCATGATGCCCCGCTGCCCTGGTGCCTGCCCCGCGGGGCTCACCCGGGGACATGCGGTCACCAGCCGTGTAAAGTTTGTGTCGCACGCAAGCTTGGCTCGGCAGTTATGGTAGGCTAAACGCTAGAGGTGGCGAGGCGGCCTGCCCGGGGCCCAGCCTGGCCAGCCCCGAGAGCCTGTCCGCCCCGCCGATCATCATACTGGGCCCCGTGGCCAGCGCCGGCTGCTGGTGGTGCTTCTGCTGGCGCTTCTGCGCCTACTCCCATAGTCCGCGGCGCCCCGGGGCCCAGGCGCGGGAGGACGTGGGCGTGGGCGCTCACAGGCCCACGGGGATGGGGTAGGTGGGCACAGTGAGGCCTTGCATGCCCAGTAGGTTGGACACGGAGTAGCCCAGAGAGTTAGTGGTGGTGGTGGCGGCCGGTTGCGTGGTGAACGCCAATCGCTTGCAGCCGCTCATGTCCGGCAGTTGGCGGCGCCCACGCCCACGCCCGCGTCCAACCCATACATGGCGCCGTAGCCAGGTAGGCCGGTGGCCAGGTGGCCCGACACCATACCGCTCGCCGCCGCCGCTGCTGCCGCCGAGGCCAGTCCACCTAGGGACGCATGCGTCACCTGCGGGAGGCTGGTCAGCGGCATTTGGCTAGATGCGGCAGCGGCTGCGGCGGCGGCAGGTAGGGAGTAGGGCGCGTAGCGGTAGGTGGCGAGTGGCGGCACGGGCGACACCATCACCAACTCACCGTAGCCGCCGCGGCCGCCTCCCCGCCCGCGACCAACACTCGTCGGCAGCATCACCTCCTTGGGCTGGGCCTTCTTGCACTCCACCTGCAACAACCACACCTGTTATTATCACCTGTCACGGTGACTCGCCACACCTGTCATGGTGATTTACCGCCGACACCTGTCATATCATGGTGACTCATCTTCTAAACCTGAAATGGTGACTCACTATCCACACCTGTCACGGTAACTCTCCACCTACCACACCTGTCACGGTGACTCACCACCTACCACACCTATCATGGTGACTCACCGCCTACCACATCTGTCATGGTGACATCACCTACCACACCTGTCATGGTGACTCACCGCCTACCACACCTGTCACAGGACTCACGCCTACCACCCACCTGCCATGATGACTCACCGCCTACCACACCTGCCAAGGTGACTCACCACCTACCATGCCTGTCATGGTGACTCACCACCTACCACATGTCACAGGACTCACCACCTACCACATCTGTCATGGTGACTCACCACCAACACACCTGTCATGGTGACTCACCACCTACCACATCTGTCACGGTGATACAAAATTTTCAGACCTTTTTAGTGACTCAGGGTAGCCTGTGTTACCATTATGACTCAGGGTACCGTCCATGGTGACTCAGGGTACCTCGTGTTACCATGGTGACAAGTAGACGCAACATCTGCTGCCATAGCGACACATGGCAACATTAAAGACACACTCGTAAAGTTATTTAATCCCAGAAAGTACTAATAACATACACTCATCACCCCAGCCAATCACATCAACGCATCTCCGTGACGTCACACCCCCACAGATAAACACGGGAGGAACACACACAGGACCCTGAAGGACACCACCAACAAGACTAATGTTTGTGTCAACATGAGACGTCGCTCACTGATTATCAATACAGATAATTCGAGGAAATCAAAGTATTTACCAAGTAGACTTCCATGACGTCAACAAGCCGATGTATTTACTCCAAATATTCATAAAAATCTTTTGAAGTTATGGAACAGTGTCTCAGAAAAATGTATACACACTGACTTTGATATTTTCGTGGATCGTATATCAACAAGTGAGGACAATGTTGATGTTTTAATACAATCACACAAGAGATTTATAAGATAGAAAACTGTATACAGTTTTCTGAGATACTTTATATTATTCGTGTAACTTTCTCTCGGGATATTGTAAACAGAGTGTTTCCTTGACCTAAAACATCAGTCACAAGTTTAACACAATACGATACTTTCTAGGCTAAATTAGGTTAAGTTAGGTTAGGTCAGGACAAGTTAGGTTAGATCAGGTGTTAGGTTAAGTCGGATCTGTTAGGTTAACCAGGCTGGGGTTAGGTTAGATCAGGTCAGGTTAGGTTAAGTCAGATCAGGTTAGGTTAAATCAGGTCAGGCTGGGGTTAGGTTAGATCAGGTCAGGTTATAAAAGAGACGAGGGCTGTGAGGGACTGACCATCAATGTCACAAAGTTACAGACACACGAGACAGGTGGTGGCGGCCCCTGGAGAATCAACAACTTCGATCATCTACTGTATAAGGCCTCATCTGACACACCGCTCAAGTAGATCAACAATGAATTCCATTTTATAAGTTTCCCTTGACAGAAATATTTTAGTGAATCAAGGCTCTTTGTCCATTACTTAAAAGGTTTACAATGATGAAACTCAACCACTCCTATATGTTAGTCTATCTCCATATAACGGATTTCTCTCTCCATATAACGGATTTCTCTCCATATAACGGATTCATCTTCATATAACGGACTTCATATAATCCGTTATATGGAGAGTTTCGCATCTAACGGACCCTCGCTATAACGGTTACCTGTAATTATCTTTATCGCCACACACCTGATAAACACCTTTTTCATCGTTTTAATTAGTGTTCATAGTGACACTTACTTCATCGAGTTATAATTAGTGTGTTTGCGATGAGAGAGAGAGAGAGAGAGGAGAGAGAGAGAGAGAGGAGAGGAGAGAGGAACATATGAAAAGTATTGATAACATGGAAAGGGGGAAAGAGGGAAGAGAGGTAGATTTCCTCCTCTCCTTCCATTCCCCCAGCACCCACATCTCACATGCCACAGTCCCATTTCAACCTCCAAAGCCTGGCTGTGAGCTAATTAAAGTTCTCTGGCGCTTGATCAACTGGGCTGTTGGGAGGGAGGGGAGGGAGGGGAGGGGGGTGAGGGGAGGGGGAGGGAGGGGGGGAGGGAGGGAGGGAGGGAGGAGGAGGGAGGGGAGGGAGGGAGGGAGGGGGGGGAGGGAGGGGAGGGAGGGGAGGGAGGAGGGAGGGAGGGGAGGGGAGGGAGGGAGGGGAGGGGAGGGAGAGGAGGAGGGAGAGAGAGGGAGGGGGAGGGAGGGGAGGGGAGGGAGGGGAGGAGGGAGGGAGGGAGGAGGGAGGAGGGAGGAGGAGGGGGAGGGAGGGAGGAGGGAGGGAGGGAGGGAGGGAGGAGGAGGGGAGGGGAGGGGAGGGAGGGAGGGAGGGAGGGAGGAGGAGGGAGGAGGGAGAGAGGGAGGTGAGATATGAGAAAGGATGATGATGAGAATGTAAGAAAGGCAAAGGATACAGGTGAGAAAAGATAAGCGAGGAGGAAAGAAGGAAGGAAAATGAAGGAAGAAAAGAAGAGGGCAAGAAAGAAATGAAGGAAGGAAGGAAAGTTTTACCTTAAAAGACTCAGGTCACCCCCAAAAAAAAAAAAAAATTATTATAAAGAATAAGAGTTCCTTTGTCTTTAAAAATGGCGGGCGGCCTTCGTGTGGTCCGTGAGAGGGGATAAGTGACAGCTCTCAGGATTCACGTCTTCCCGCCCTATAAATAACACCGCGTTCTCTCCTCCCGACTTCGTCCCCAATCACACCCATTTTCTTTTCCCATTTTTTCTTTTTTTTAAGGAGTCTGACCTAAGTTTGGGGGTGCGTTATATACTGTCGGAGCCTTTACCCGGGACATAGGGTGGGGAGAGAGCCGGGGTGGGGGGAGGAGGAGGTGAGTAGGGGGAGGGGAGGTGAGAGGGGGAGAGAAGGAGGGGAGGAAGAGGAGGAAGAGGAAGAGGGAGGAAGGGACTTTGTTTACTATTATTTAACTGGGTGATTCACTCTGGCGAGGTTGGCTATAGCTACGTCATCTATTAACGTTTTACAATATCTATCTTTCTTTAGTTTATGTAGTGTGTGTGTGTGTGTCAACGTTACACCCAATCACTTTATCTCGCCTTTATCTTGGTCTCATTCATAAAAGTCTCTCTCTCTCTCTCTCACTATATATATATTTGGACACTACCACCAACCGGCTTCCCGACAACCTTCCCTCCCTCCAATACCTTCTCTCCAAAACCACCTCCAATCCCTACCTCCCAACACCTTCTTTTCCTCCAACATCTTCTCTCCTCCAACACCTAGACCTTCCCTTCCTCCAACACCACCTGCAACACAACCTCCAACACCTCCTCTCTGCCACCCTTAACCTCACAAAGGCTTCGTGTGTGTTTGGGTCTTGCATGTGTCCACACCCACACCCACCACACACACACGCACACCCCTCAGTTACAGACACGAACACACACACACACACACACACACACACACACACACACACACACACACACACACACACACCCCTACACCCCACACACACCCACCCCACACACATTCCTACACCCCCCCACACACACCCCTACACCCCACACACACTCCCTACACCCCCACACACACACCTACAACCCCACACACACCCCACAACCCCACACACACTCCTACACCTCCCCCCACACACCCTACAGCCCCACACCCTCACCCCACACACCCCTACACCCCCCCCACACACACCCCACAGCCCCACACCCTACACCCACACACACCTTCACCTCCCCACACACCTCCTACACCCCCCCACACACTAGACTAAACCCATTACAGGTGAGAGGCACAGTTTATCTCACCTGAGGTACATTTCTATTACGTTCAGGTAAGTTGTTAATGTGACACCTTCATAATACCTTTACCTCACCTGGTCTTGTGTACCCAAACTTGAGAATGTTTTGGTGTTGCTGAATAAATATTTCCTGAACTATATTAAACTAACCTGACTAATTTAATCTGATCTAACCCAACGTTACCTTACCTAACTTAAGTGAAACAAGCACGCACACACACACACACACACACACACACACACACACACACACACACACACACACACTCTCTCTCTCTCTCTCTCTCTCTCTCTCTCTCTCTCTCTCTCTCTCTCTCGCGACGTCAATGTACACCTGCACGAATTATATACAGACAACGGGCTAATTTAGTGTACTCAAGGAGGTTGACATAGTACTCAAGGTATCGTACTCAGGGGATCAAAATACTGTATTATCATCAAGAAACATTTGCTATAAGACTTTCCTCCTAAACAGCGTCAAACACAAGTATATTATTGCCAAACATAATCTTTATTTCACTTCTTTCCTTCATATTATCAACCTCTTCCCCCAAGGCGTCTTCAGCACCCATAACTCATCTCTCAGCGTCTATTTAACCAATCTGTGCCTTGTTGACACATGACACAGGGCCGAGAATACATTGTCACGTCAAAGAGGATCGCTGCTGGTGATTGTTGACAACGACGAGGGACTGATTAATGGGGTAGCTGGCAACTCACGCAAGCGGCCCATGAATTTTAATGGAAGCTGCGACCAACTAGATTTGTTGAGGGATGACCAGGCTAGTTGGTGGTCAGATTGACCCATTATGGACAACTGGGGATTGCAGCTTTTGACCAAAATGTTAGTCTGGAGGGGTGGAGGGGGGGAGGGGAGGGAGGGGGGACCATCACAGACCACAACCACGGCACAAAATGCTGTTTTTGGGTAATTGTGGTCAGTAAGTTTTGTCTGAACATAGTTTGTGGTTATAATATATTATTATGAGTAGTTGTGAACCATATTTGTGGGTGATATCTCTCTCTCTCTCTCTCTCTCTCTCCATACATCACACACCGTTCAATGGCTGTGTCTGACCTCGTGGCAGGAGTAGTTCACTGAGGCCGCTGCGCTACAAAGC